GCTTTTTTCTCATTAAAACGATTACATTATTCTCGCATTATTACGACTTTATTCTCGTAATTTCCAGTATGGTATTTCTTAGTATGGCCCTAATACTCTGTCGTAGAACGAAAACAACCAATCAGAACGGAGAAAGATGGAAAGACACTTTGGGTTGGAAGCTTGAAGATAGTTGATTGTTGAGTCTCATTCCCAGGGTGTTAAATACAGAGGCTTTGTGACCCTGGGAATGAGACTCTTTTATAAATGTACCTACCTTATGCTTTAACATAATGTGAAAGCTGAGGAGCTATCCTCAGGCTAAATGGTGGACACAACAGTCAAATAAAAGGTTGTGGACGTCAGTTGCTTGGTGTGAATATGTTGGTATATAAATATATACAGTCAAAATGTGAATATGTAAATGTAAAACTCATCCTCTCTTTCTGTTTCCAGCATCAAGTTACTGGCGGTGCAGGACCTGCTGGAGCGGGAGGCTCTTGATAAGGTAAAGTGGAGCTGTGCACACACTCACTGCTCTCTGCCTGGGTCACGCTGGTTGATTGAGAGGACCGCTGCTGTACATGTTGAAGGCTGATTTGCAGTGTTGTAAATGAGATGAGTCTCCTCTCAGGGAAATGCACTCAGGAACTCTCACTCAGTGTTTCCCATTTATTTAATGTGTTGCTGTTATGCAAATGTTCCCCCTTTCTTTCCACTCTCTTTGCGTATCTGTTTCCCAAGTGTAAATGTCTTCTATTTCTAGGCTCACATTTGGGTTTAAACTGTGTTAGTGCTCTCCCATGCTTTCATTACTATAAATATGACAGTGGTTGCTATGGGGTGGAGGCTATCCTCTTCAGCAGTGTCAGTAATCAGGATGCATTGGATTAATCTTTCAGATTCTTTTTGAAGAAATAAGAAAAAGTAATTTAGCAAAAAGATGCTGGCACATTTTGGCTGACAGCTGGGAGCTGTGACGGCCAGATTTCCCGGAAGACAAATTACACAGAAACATAAAGCTGTAGCTCTCTGTTATTCAGCATTAGAGAATGTTTGAACTCTACTGCCTTCTAGTTCACCGTATTAAACCTGAGCATTTTTTACTCACTCTGATCTAATAAGAGGAAAATATAATATACACCAGTAAACAAATATTCTTTTCCACATATTTTCTGCATATTTAGAGCAAGATCTGACTTGAAATATTCAGTTATTACATTATTACATTACGTTATGCTCTGCTAATATGGTGGGTTCATATATTCAGGTGATTATACACTAATGAAAACAAAGCTATAAATATAATATTCCATTCTGACAATAGATCCTCCTAAATGTTACACACTGGAAATTAATTTAATTTCATATAAATCATATAAATTCTTTCTGTGACCAATCCTTAAAACAGTGGTTCCCAACCTTTTCATTGTTGAGAAAACTGTTGACTGTGACATATTTATGGATATTTCATATTATATTCAATGCATACCAATAACAATACAGTCCACCACCACAATGAACCCAAATGTCCCGAACCCCAGGTTGGGAACATCTCCCTTAGGTCAACACATTTTGGGATCTCAACCTGCCGGTGTGGATGGATGCTGAGGAAAACACTGGATAAAGCGAAGCACTACTATATGAAGTATGCTGTACAGTCAGATCACCCACTCTCTTACTGAGCAGAGATGTAGGGCGACTGCATTAATACTCAGATGTCATTGCATGTATGAAATGAAATGTCAGAGTTCAGGAGTGCGCTCTGAGCTGTCTGACGTGTTCCCGTTCAGCCTACACACTCCTTTGCATACGTGCAATGTCACTCTCTGTATTGGCTACCAGATGGATCCTTGGCAGAGAAATTCCGAGCTCTGTGGAAGGGAAGTAGGTCAGCAGCAGAGTATTTTGGACGGAGAGAGGGAGGTGGTGGGAGGATGAGTTACCTCTGGACAAGTCCTAGCCCACATTGCATTGTTTTCACTCCTGCCAGCCTCCCACACTGGTTTTCTGCCTGTTTTCTTTCTTGTCTTAGTCATTAGCACCATCTCTTTTCATCTGCAGTGTCTCTTCCTGCAGAGTGAATGAGAATTTTTTTCCATTCTCTCTTAGATCTTTCATTTGAGCCGGTGCAATGCAGCACACCAAGATATATTTTACTCCTTTACTTTCATATAAAAGCAGCTTTCAATTAGTTTACATGACACTATAGTAATAATATTCCTATGATGTGTTTTTGTTTTATATTGGGTTCCCACTTTATGATCTTAGACTTTTCCTACCATATAGCAGAATGGCATGAGTCTGGGTTTCACTGGATAGATTATTGACACACGTTAGCCTCCATCTTGTCAGTTACTGAAGCCACAAAATCCAGATTTGGGAAAGAGGTAGTAAAGCTGAGCTGGGATAAGCCGGCTGCATCTACCACGGCTGAACAGACTCTTAAAAGGTCATTAACCTATCATAACTACCATGACTTGGACCACAATCACCATCATGTTGTCATCATAGGAATATTGTCTAACTGACTTTCAGTGGACAGACCTTCCACTGCATCCCTGTGTTTATTTGCTGACCCATGAGAGCATTTCACTGTAACTGTGGTGGACATGTTTGCTTGGACATGTGTTGTATTAGTCACACAGAGAGTGTGTGCCGGTTTTAGACTGTTGTGCTCCGTCTGTTTTGTCGCTAAGGAACCCTCTGTCTGTGGTTAGGTTTCAATCTCGTGATTAATCATACTGTAAAAGGCATCACTGGTTACTATGTCAAACAGCCTTTGTGCAAATATAATAACTAACTTGCAATAACTGGACAAATTGCCGGCTTAACCTCATAAATACCTAAAACACACACACACTCTTCTCGTTGTTTTGTGCTGTGTGGATTCTGGCAAACCCTGACTGGTTATCTGGCACTGCTCTGAAGGTTCAGTGAGTTCAGGGTTGTTTGCTACTAAATTTCTCTATTTGTCCATCCTGTTCTGAAGAGGTAGTTCAGTCACTCACAACAGCACAGACATGCAAAACAGGATATAACATATAGAGACTTTATTGCTTTAAGTTCTGCCAGCAGCTCCAGTAGTGGGATTAAACATATTCTCAGGGCGAGGAAAGAGCACACTCAAATGACTGCACATAATATTAAAAGTGTTGCTTGTAATAATGAACCCCGACTCTGAAGTCCCCATCTTCTCTACAGAGTGCTTTAGCTTCACTCTCACCGCTCTCATCAGCCAAATTTCCAGTACCAGCAGGCAGCTGTTTCCAGTGAAAAGCTCTAATAAATCCATTGTATTTGAGATGTCCAGCTCCAAAAAACAGACAGTGGCACATTTAGCAGCCAAAGAAATATATTCTCTTTTCCCTCTGGGGTTGGTGGAAACCAAAACAAAGCTAAAAGAGAGACTGGATATTACACTTACATTAATCAGTTGAACACAAACACAGCTCCAAATGAAGGATCACGTTGCTGTGTGTCTATTGTAGTTTGCTATATACTGCAGGAAGACACCACTGCAGTACTGCCAACTTTTTCACTTCCGGTACATCCTGGTATTTGTGTATAAACGGCACAGACTAATTAGATAACCACCTACAGGATTTCAAAGATACAGATTAATATGGTCAAAATCAATTTAGCAGAGGCTGAGATATCCTGACGTTACTCTATACGTACAGTTTGTACCACAGGCTTTCTGTAAAAAAATTTCTGTCCAAAGTAAGATAATCCTGATGACATGAAGTTTTACACTTTGTGTTCTACATGAGAGAGTATAATGGCGAGGAGGTTTTACACCCTCTGCCTGTGCTGTTGATTAACACTCAGTGTAGTAATCAGATAATGAAATCCTTGGCAGTGCGAAATGAGCCTGTGCTTCAGTGTTTCTCCTGTACCTGTTCTGGTCCAGGTAACTCTCCAGCTCTGCCAGGCGATTCCTCCGGGCCTTGGCTCCTTTCCAGGGCCCTGACTACATGCTGTGCCCGCACTTTGGTCCTCACAGGCTGAATTATGAGGGTGTTTTGTGTTTTGGCACAGGTTATACTTGTGAGCAATTCATCCTTGTACACTTTACAGGCTCAATGGCCCCTGGGGACTGCAACTGAAAGTAAATCCTGTTGGGGGTTTCTAACCTCCTGGCAGTCTGAAATTGCTTTATTATTAATATTATTACTTACTCAGCGATGGGCCGGAGGAAACAGAATGCAGTTCACAGTGATTGTGTATGTCTCTGCAGTTTGAGATAGATAGAGCTGTGGTAGCACTGCGAGATGACAGACTTTGTAGCAGTTCCTCAGTGTTAATTAGTGTTATCAAGCTTTGTGCTGCTCTTGTTAAACTGTTACGGTTTGTGTTTCAGTCCCTGCGAGGACAAAATGGATGTCTGGAACGTTCTTGTCATGCCTTTTGATACACATCTCTTTCTTTTCTTGGTGTCCAACAGAAATATCTATAACAAATCATATTTGCACAAATAGTGCAAAGTCCCAGTGTGTCACTTGCCCACAATTTCATTAAGTGCAAATCTGTTTAGGACTTTGCACTCCTAGGCAGGTGATCTTATGTGTTTCATATTAGTATTTTGTGTCAAAATCTAGTAGATAAAGACGCCTCATTCTAAGGTAACGAAAACACAACAAGTCTTATTCACAAATGTTGCATGTCAACACTATTACTAAATGCTACATTCAGTTAGTTCCCATGCACAAATTACATAATTTAAGACCATGAGTTATGTAATGTGACAGTGCAAATTAGTAAATTATTCATTTGTGCACACTAATTATTTATTTACAATCAAAATGTATGAAGTAGTGTGTACCACACTGGCTAGAAGTCTCTGTTGGTTTTCGGAAAAATAATAAAACTACTATGATTAGTTTGCTCTGCACGCTGTGCTTGATGGGAAATTGGAGATGATGGGGTATTTTTGTCCCAGGGCACCCTGAGCTGTAATTCTGGCCATGCACAACATACTGTATCAAGATTTTCCGATATAGGAATAAGCCTCGCTACCACAGCTCTGCTAACATGGCTAGCAGCTTGCAGCTTTACCAAATGTTAAAGTTAAATGTTAGTAGACATTTATTATTATATTTATTATTAAATTGTTGTCACTTTGAATGTGAATGGGTGTCATTTCAGTGTGGGCCTCTCATGGAGAGGTCAGGTATGTGTGTGCGTGCACTAGGCGGGGTTCCTCTGACTCTCCCAGTGTCCCGCAGGGAGCCCCTCTGGTTAAATTTAGAGCCAGTGGCAGGTCAGCCAGAACAGCAACCTGAGCCTTCATATTCTTCTGTGCAGCTCCCTCTATTCCTTTCCTTTCTCCCACTTCTTTTATTTCCAGACCAAGCTACTTTCACCTGTTCTTCAGAACAGTACACCTCTACTGGTTTAGTCCTCTCTCAGTAGTGTCGACATAGAGGCTTCCTCTTTCTGGCTGTATTTCCTCTGTGAGATGAGATGAGGCTATTTGAGTTCACTGAACTCTGTATTGTTTCTCAGTGAATGTTTTTGCTGATGAGCAGTTAATCTGCCCTCAAGTGTTAAAATAAAGTACAACACACCATGTGAATTGCACTTTGTCATATTTCAGACAGATTAGAGATAGTCATGTTGGCATCTAATTATCAGATAAACCAAAGGAGATATTCAGTTAAGTCAGTACTGTGTTCCATTTTGTATTAATGCCCGTGTTTTTTGTATGTTGAGCAGGCCTACCATGCACTGATTCTCCTGATTATCAACTCACAGTGTCCTTGGCACTGACAAGCTTGTGTCTTAATGCACTGTTCAGATTTTTAGCCACACAACAACCTTGTTGCTAATATTTCTCAGACAGAGCTGCTCTGAAAGCAGTGATAACCTTTATGGCTAATGGTAGAGTGAAGAAGCAGTCCTTTGATTATCATTTTACATGCCATGTTTCTAAACCTGTTCCATTTCATTTTTCACATTCTCATTACACGGTCAAGTTAGCAATAATAATATGCCACATCCAGCCAGATTTTCAAAATAATGCTAGCTGAGAAATATTTCCAGTGATTGTTGCTGTTTGTTTCAGTTTAGCTACCAAAACGTCTTGGTTCAGTTTAGGAAAAGATCATGGTTTAGGTTAAAGAAAGTATATTAGTTACGGAAGTTACATAGTGTACTGAGAAATTGTAAATTGTAAAATCTGGATAAATCTTTACTCAAGGACCACTAGCTTTAGCTTTAGCTAACAATATTATTGCTTGTTTAAATAACACTGTCTTACATTAACAGTAGTTGTTCCTTTTAGCTAATCATTTGACCAGAATATCCCAGTATTATCCTTAAGCTTTTCAGAAAGACTGATGAAACCTGAATTACAATTTATTTTTGTTCTTAATTAAAGTTGATACTTAGCCAACACACTGTGGCCCTCCCCCTTAGAGAAAAACTAAAACTACAATCCAGATTTACATCATTGCCAAATAATGAAGTACAACAATAAATCTGGTATCTGTGCATAGTGCTGACAGAATGTTCTCTCTGTGTTTGCATTGCAGTTCTGTGTGGAGTTAAACCAAGGAACGCTGGCCAGTGTACGGAAGTGGAAATGGCCACGAGGGCTATGGAAATGTGTTGTGTCTGAAAATCCCACTGGACACTACAGCAAGGTATGTCTCTCTTTAGTTGATTTGTTTAAAGAGTCAATTTACACTGAATGACATATGGGACAGAAAACTGTTGCTGGATTGCTGTTTTTACCATTAGCTGATGAAACTATTCAGAAATCATCGGCCCTCAAGTACCCAAATCTGTCAAAGCCAATCCTTTGCCAGAAAACAGTCCTCACAGCAGGAAAATGAAAAAAAAGGCAGTTCAGTGTTTGTTTTTCAAAGGTATCAGCCACTCCAGTACAGCTGGTGGATGTATTCAGCTCTAAGAGGTTGTCTCTCTTCTCTCCAATATCAGCTTTGACATCAGGAACCCGCTGGGCATGCAGCAGATAGCTGTTTGTTCACAGCAGAAAGCATGCAGTAGATGAACCGTTGATATAAACTTGAGCTGGGTCAGCTGCGTGTCATGGCCTCGGTCACGTACGATGGATGGTTGAAATAACAACCATGGGTTTTAAAATGCCCTGCCAACCCCGACTGCTAGTGCATTCTGACAGCATGATAGCATGGTGTAACGTTAGTAACATTTAGATGGGGTGGGGGTCTATTTTGTTGTTTTTTCATCCAGGGAAGAGCGTACATATATCCTATATAAATAAAAATAAATCATACTGAAGTCAGAACCAGTGAAGTCCCAAAATATGGTATAACAGATAGATAGATAGATAGATACAGAGATAGAGAGATAGAGAGATAGAGAGACAGATAGACAATAAAGAACAGAGAAAGGTAGATTAATGAGTCTTATTCCCAGGGCGTCAAATATCGATGCTGGGAATGAGATTCAACTATCTTCAAGCTTCTAACCCAAAGTGTAGATCTTTCTCTTATAAATATCTAATATACTTATCAAATGTGTCTTTTTAATTAGCAGAAAATATAGCAGTTTGATAACTGTGACTAAGCATTGTTAGCTGATCTTTCATCTGTAAAACATCACTATGTCTGAAATGAGGCCTTCTGACACAGCATACAGTCGAGAATCACCCCAAGGCTCATACAGTACTGTAGAAAAGAATCAAATTACTGTAAGCCCTGATCAGGAAATCCATGTAACATTTGCATTTTAAAGCTGCAGTAGGTAATTTTTATGAAAATAATTTTTTGCCATAGGGAATGAGACAATCAACTATCTTCCTCGGCTCTGATTGTTTGTTTTAGTTCAGGTCCCGTGGATTTTTGCAAATGCCATTAGGAGCAGAGGAACCTGGTTGTTTCACAGATTATCTGTCTCATGTTCTACTGTCAGGATATAGTGAAAGTTTCATTAAACAAATAATAATTTTTATCAAAAATAAAATTAAAAATTACCTACTGCAGCTTTAATGAATGTGCCTTTTTCTCGTCTCTGTAGCAGACTGATAAATAGACCTGATTCAGCTTAGTTCAGTAGGTCATATACGGTCCTACACATTTATGGCTGGTTACGTGTCATCTGCACACAGAATATCTCAACTTAAGTGTTCGCGGTTCTATTAGTATGATTGCTATGCTATTAGTAATGGTGTTGAGGAAGTAGTAAGGTCTAAATATCTGACTCCATTTCCCATGATCCCCCTTTCCCAGGGAGTGAGCTACTCTGGCTTTCTGTGGGATAGTTCGTCTGGTATTGACCTGCGGGATGCTGCAGTCCTCGAGTCTCCTGTGGCCAATGGCAACGGGAATCATACCTACCCTCGACTCTACCTGGCTCACTTCTCTGTAAGTAATGATTGACTCCCAAAACAGACTGTTAATAAGGGCTTTCTAAAGTTTTGGTTAGAAAAGTTTCAATATTACTTCAAGGTACGCAGAGGTAAAAGAATAATAATTATTTATTATTTTTCTTTACCTCTATTGTATTAATTTTTATGTATTCATTTATGATTCATATTTGTTAATAGTAATATATATATTTTTTTTTTTTAAATATATTTTTTAAACAATATGTTTATTGAGATTTTCCCTTTTCTTCCCCCACAACAAAATATACAATACAATCAATTAATACAAACATCAGACCCTTCCACCTGCCCAAAAAAGAAAAAGAAAGATTCCTGCTTTATTTTCTGCAAAAAAATATTAAGCAATAAAACAATATTTTTCTCATATAATATAATATTTAATCATTTATTAAAGGTATTCACAATTATGACAGCTATACCAACAATACAAATGTGTGGGTACAAGAGATACATAGACATTAACTTTATAGTGCATGCTGTATAGATTACGATAAACAAACTTTTTCTGAAGGCAAGTATGAGGAAAGTTCCTTAAACCACAGAGATGCACTAGATCAGTGGTTCCCAAGGTCCGCTTTTCTATCATTTACTAAACCAATGACCCCCTGAGTCAGTGACATATTTTATGGATATTTCATATTGTATTCACAACTGAACAATGAACCCAAACAGTGAACTCAGTAACTGCAGGAAGTGTGTGTAAAACCAGTGATTTTTCCACTTTTCCAGTGGAGAGCTATGCATTTATTAGCTGCAGTTTATTGATAAAAATGATTATAACTTGGTCTTACAAGTCTTATTTTTTTGTAGTTTTGGCAACCATTTCTGTTAGTTACAGTATGATAACTTCTTAATTAATTCATTTCTGAGATCTGTGAGATATGGAGACATTGCAAAAAGAAGTCAGGTTATAAACAAAACTTCAGGAAATCAGGAATTATCCTTTAATCTTCCTCCAGCTATTATAAGATGGTCAAGTACTACAAACCTATAGTCATTTCAGAACAAAGTTATGGTAACAACAACACATTTCCAACACACATTAGATGCTAACAATACTAACAGCTAGCTCCATTTGCTGTTTGTGTGTTTTGTTTTGTTGTCAACTGCATTCCAACCACCATCAAATGATGGACTTTTTTCTATCAGGTTGGGTCATACGAGCTGACAGTGGTGAACGTCCACATGCAGGCAACAGCCGCATCAGGAGAGTCCAACGGCAAGAACCACAGCACAGACGAAGCCAAGTGTCCCCGCCTCTCCCCGAGCATCCAGGAAACACTCAAAGGTCAGTCTGTCAGGTTAGACCAATAAAGGTCATCGTGTGTCCTTCATTGCTGCGCGAAGGTGAATTATCGGAATCATCCTGTTCTCATTAGTTTTCTCCACATCTTCTGCTGCAGGTGAGAAGGAGTTGGTGGTGCTGGGAGATTTTGGCTCCCCTCCTCAGAGCTCAGAGCTGGACATACTGAGAAAGGAGAAGCTCTTTGCCCTGGTACCATCCACCCAGTTCACCAACATCAGCACGCGCTCACCACAGGGCACTCGCTGTCTGGACAACATCTGGCTGAGCCGCTCCCTCAAGAAGATCTATTCTGGTCAGTGATGTTTTTGGACAGTGGTAGATTAGAAATTCAAATCTGAAGTCATTCATACAAGTAAAGTCTCAAGTCAGTTAATGGAGGCAAATCGAGTCTCAGGTTATTTGAGATAGTCTCTTGATATTGAAAATCTAAGGTGAGTCTCAAGTTATGAGAGAAAGCCCAAGTAAAAAATCAATCAAGACAAGCCAAATCAATTCAAGTTATTTGAAGTCCAAGATAAAGCTGCAGTAGCTAACTTTCATACTTTAAACTTTTCATTGTTATTGTTGAAACTTTCACAGTGTTCTGACAGTAGCACATGAGGCAGATAATCTGTACTTCAGACAAGTACAAGTCAAGTCTAAAGCCTGTCATGGCAAGTCATTCACTGTCACAAGTCTATAAAAAGCAAATTGCATGTCAAGATAAGAGTCTTTTAGGACTGTAAAAGTTAAAATGAAACAGTGTTTGAATTATTTCAAAGCTATGAGTTTTTTACAACACTGAGACATGGACCTTCAATGTATCGGCCTGATAATTAAGCATATTATCAAGCATATCAAGACTCACAACACACATAATAGCAGCTCCATGACTCTGTTTGACCTGAATGGAACAAAACTTTAATTTGAATTATTGCTAACACCTGTGTTTACCCTATTTTTTAATGTTAAAATGGCTGCTGTGAAAGGGTATATTGTTCTGGTTATCATGGCAACTGTTTTTTCTCCACATGTAGCAGTACAGACACCTGGTTTGCTTTTTTATTTAGGATGAATGAGATTCAGTTGCAATTTCAGCTACTGCTTGAGTTCATGATAAGTGGATGTAAGCTTTCAAAGTTTACCCGACTGTATATATACTTTGATACATCATCTAAGCTCCAAGGAGTCCCACATGTCTGCTGACTGCCCATCTCCTTGTGTCTTTTCCACCGACAGGCCACTGCATGGTAGTGCGGGAGGGCTTGACCAACCCCTGGATCCCGGACAACTGGTCGTGGGGCGGTGTGGCGTCCGATCACTGCCCCGTGGTGGCTGAGTTTTACGCAGACGTATCCCCTAAAGAGCTGAGCAGGCCTGGTATGGCAGTGGTGGACAGAGGAGACATTATGCCCAAACACGAGCGGTGACAGCATCCACACTCACAGTAGAGACAGCAGTGGACAACAGCAGACTTTGTCCTGCCTGGATCTTGGTTAGCTGTGGAGCAGTTTCCTGACGAATGTGAAGAAGTGCCAAGATTGCCTTTAGGTTTCAATCTATCAATGTATAATACTAACTGGTAAGTCATAGAGCCATAAAAATGTTCAGACAAAATATATATAATGTACTTTAAGAAGGAATGTGCCAAACATTTTCTATATGTATATAAAATAAAGAGAAATTAATAGATGTTCCAGCCGTGTCTGAACTCTCATTAATGCAGATAAGTGCAGTATCTGTTCAGAATAGTGTGAATGACCCAGCTCAGAGGCTGTGCTGTAACGCTCATCTGTTCTGTCAGTTGAGAGGATGATAAGATCTCAGCTGTAGAGCTCATGAAGGCTGCGCTCTTAAATTATGTAAGCCAGGCCTCTGGGTGCACGCGTGAGCTGCCATCTTCCTCTGTGATGGAAAAGAGGTGCCAGTGCAAGAGTGCTATCAGAGGACACTGCTGCTGCCTCAACTGCTCAGGAACAGCTCCAAAATGCTGCTTATAAAAGGGCAAAAACCTGGCACTGTTCAGTTTTACAGATTAGTTCAATGCAAATTACATTTTACAAACAAAAACAACAACAGTGTATCAAAAACTAATGATAATGACACAGGTTACATATGAGAGTTAAAGCTTAGATTTAGTCTCTCTAGTTTTAAGTGTTGTATGTACTGTCAAACCACAAAATATAACTGGTAAGTAATTATTATTATTATAACATGATAAAAATTACCATGAATTTAGTGATGAAACATTTGGTATGAAGCATTTAAGTGTGTTTCTTAATAAATCACTGAAGGCGCAGTGCTGTATTGTACCTTTATAAAGGCTTTTTTTTTCTGGCAAAAATGTTTTGCACTGGTCAGGGGGTACGTGGCTGGGGAATATTTCGAAGGGGGTACACTGCTCTAAGAGGACAATCCTCACACAATCACTGATCACAGATATGAATAGCTCTACAGTACAACACACCTATGGAAGAGATGTTATTCCAAGAAAACCAGATCAGACAATATACAGAATATTCAGATCGATTTGAATTGAGAGAGTATAATTATGTGTGCAGCTGACTTGAAAGATAGCTAATCATTGCATTTGGATGCACACACATAATTATACAAACCTACGTTCCCTTATGGCTGGATTGACGAGCATTGGCCCTGGGGCCCCACATTCACTGTTTTTGGCCACTTGGGGGCAGTAGAACAAGTTGAAAACATATGACCCCCTTGTAAAGTGGCGAACATATCTGTCTCATAGCAGATAAATGCTTCACCATGTTCACCAACTAGTCTCTAACTGTGTCTGTCTGCTGTTTGCTAGTGGACAGGTAGTGTACAGTGGGTCTATCAGAGCTTTTACAGTGAAAGCAGCACCTCAGTGGGATATCTACGTTGGATTCTTGCCCAAGCTTTTCAGCCTTTCCTGGAACATAACCCGGTTGTTAACACTAATTAACCTGGACTGGTTACAGTATTGCATCTTTAAGTTTGAAAGATTTTTTATTTAGAACATATTTAAATTCACATCATGTCCTCAGAGTGTGGAGGCCAGCTGTCAGTCTCTGGTGCTGCTCACAGTTGTCAGTAGTCAGAAGCAGTGGAGGATATTTGGAGGGCTGAAAGGACCTTGTTGTCTGTTATTGTTTTTAAATCAAATTCTAAGTGCAGATGCATTGGAATCAGCCTGCTGTTGCTTCAGGAAGCAAGGCTGATGAGAGTGGAGTCTGCAGGCTGTAAAACCAAAATAAGGAGTTGATAGAGGCTAAAATGCTCCATAGAGTGGAGAGTAACTAAAGTCAGGTAATAATTCTGTGGATTTATCACTATTACCAACACCTTGCAAGTTTCAAGTAGTTATTTCATACAATGCTAATGTAAAGTCATTTATGTCATTTTGATACTTGCCCTACCTCTCTATCATCCCCCCTCTAATCCCCATATTCTTTGCGGAGTCATCATTTCTCATCTCTCCACCAGCACTCACAGTTTCAGGCCCTCTGCCAGTCATCTAAACCTGCTCCTCACTGAATCCAACTTACTCCTCGGTCCCTCATTTAGCCCAACAGTACATATACCTGCTCTCAAGTCTCAGTCGGATCAACTATGCTGGCTCCATGGCCAAGCTTTCCAGCCCTTCCCGTTTGTCAGCATCCAGTCCCTGTTCTGAAAACCTCCCCATGAGCTTTTACTCATCTTGCAGCTGATGGGGGCCCCCTAGTGGTTTAATCTAGCCATACTGGAGCCTGCAAGAATATAGGTATTGTTTAAAGACTGTAACTATAACTATGTTTCAGGGTCAGTAACTGGTGCTGCTCACAGTTCTCTGTAGTGTCACAACCCGTCTTAAGGCTGGACAAAGAAGGGGAGAACACACATGAGTTTTAACTGAGTTTATATACATAACTAAAAAAATTAAGCAAAAGACAAACTAAATTCAACAAAACCAAACAGGGTGGAAGCCAAGGGAGCAAGAGAGACTGGCTTATTGGAAGACTATATAGACTGGAGGCAGTCTACCAGGTGAACTGAACTGACTCTTGCTGATGACCTGACTCACCCACCAGGCTCTTGGAGGGAGAAACCTGCTCAAAGGGTCGTCACACACCCCCACTTACAAAAAAAAGTGGTTCCACCACAAACTCTGGAACTACAACAATAAACATAATTTACAATTAAAATTGGCATTTCACACTGAGCCACCTAGTCCTGTGTCGTGTACCTCCCACCAATACCCACACTCTGTCCCTTAAGTTTGTCCACCCTTAGACATCCACAACCTTGGTACCAGAGCATCTTTAAGACTAGAGAGAAAAAGATTAATGCGCAAAAACAATGTGGGACAGTACATAAAACTACTGTATGTCAAAAACACCCCACAAACACTCCAAAACAAAAACCACTTATGTCAGTATCTGTGTCAAGGCCCAATCCCAGACTACATGAGAAACATGAAGGCAACCAACCCTCACTATTAAACAAACTGATCCAAACAGATGTAGAGCATTCAGTCCCAGTGTGCATTAACAAAACCAAAAGGTAGCCCAGACAAACAAAACTGTAGTCTCCCCCAACATACAAATAAGTACTTAAAGCAGTGGGTCCAGAAAGTCCCTGCTATGAAGTTACCACCAGAGAACCACATGATCCTGAGCATGTAGTCTACCCACTTTCACTGCCACTTTAAGCGGTCAAGTTGCGACAAACTCACCACTAATGATTGCCATACCTAATGGGGGACAACAGTTACCAAATGGACACCTTAAACCAAAATGCACAATGGACTTAACACAAGTTACTTAGCAAAAACAAAAAAGGATGAAAGGACTAGTTTCTTGCTCTCCCCCCAAAAGAAAAATAAAGTCATGTATGATACTCCCCAAGGTAACAAGTAGTCCCAACATCAGAAAACATGCTGACACACTAATTAACAAAAACTCCATTGTCACAGTGGTAGCACAACACAAACCAAACCAGGCCAAATTACCAAAAAGGTCAATTTTATCCCAGATGAGCCCCCACTTTGTCACAGCATGGCTCAAGAGTAGGACAAAGAGGAGGGGTCAACACATGACTTTTTAACTAAATGTTTATTTAACGAAATATAAGTGAAACAATAATAATATAAAGTATGTCAATCAGTAGTGTAGGGCATGTTTGTGTGAGTGACAGTGAAGTGTAATGAACAAAGAAAAGTCTAACCCAAACAACAAATCATATACCAAGGAAGAGAGAGAGAAACTGACTGACTCCTCCAGCTTATAAAGCTGAAGAGCAGCAGGTGATAATTAGTGATGCACTTCCTGCTTCCATGCTAAAAGGGAAAGACAGCCCAAACAGGAAGTCAAGAGGGCTGAAGCAGTGGAGGACTGAAGGGTTTAAGTAAAGAGAGGCAACTTTAAATCAAATAGAAGCGTCTTTACAGTTCAGATGCATTCCTGGAAACCAGACACAAAGTAGGAGGACATATCATTGAAGGAAACAAAAACATATTACATTGAATTCATTTTGTTTTTAAAATATATTGATCCCAGGTGTGAGTGCTGCCATTAGAGAACCTACCTGTGCTCTTAGTGTCTCTGCAGAGACAGTGAAGTTGCGAGTTGTGAGTTGCTGCACACTGCAGTAACATCATCCATCTTTCTTTTATTTGGACACTGCCTTTGGCCTTCCAGTGAAGAAATGAAAAATACTCAAGTAAAGTAAAAGTACGTCACATTTGTACCTAAACAGTACTTGAGTAAATGTACTTAGTTACAGGATATCTGGTCCTAACAAATATCCAAATATTGTGTTTCAGTCTTTAAGAGTCAGAGAGGAGAATTAGTCTGTGAAAAAGCTCACTGTTCTCATGGCCAATCTGTCCATCCAAGGACAAACTGCTCTCGACTGGCTGAGAGAGACAGAGGATGTCATCATGGAGGACCTGTCCCTCCAAAACGAGTCAGCTAAGAATCCAGTGGAAGGCCAAAGGCAGTGTCCAAATAATAGAAAGATGGACGATGTTACTGCAGTGTGCAGCAACAGGTGGGTGTGAGAAAATATTTTCTATCCAAATGTAGTGTAAAGAATATTTTAAAAGTACACAGTTAGACAGCTGATCGCGCTAATGCCGGCCGGCATAGTGGACAGAACAGCGAACAGCTCTGTGGCCCGGATGATGAACTGCTGCCGTTGGACTCCGTCCATATCATCTACCGAGAGAGACAAGCAGAAGCCTGCAACCACTCTTTCCATTTCCCTTCTGAGAATATTAAAGTATTACTGATTCTGATTATCCATTCACACTGTCTTTCAGATGCTGTAGTGGGCTCTGCTTTAAAGCTAGAGTTAAGATACATCATATGAAAATAGATGAACTAACGCTCCAGAGTTAGGCTCTTTTTTCTTTCTTTTTTAAATTGACACTGTCAGCAAAGAGCCAGTCAGATTCAAACCCATGTTCGCTGCAGCAAGGACATGGTGCACCAGCTCTACCAGGTGAGCTATCAGGTTTTAAACAATGAAATCATAGCTGACAAATCTAAATACTGAGTGAAGTTGAACAACACCTATAGATGTTTTGACACTTCCCCTGTACTGCTCTACGGCACATGTGCAGAGTTGAGCTCTGCATTAGTTCCAGGAGCTTAAAGTTACAAGTCCAGTTTACTCAGTGAACTCTTATACCTCTTTCAGGCAAAACAAGTACATTACTCACATT